CCCCAAAACCCCAAAACCCCAAAACCCCAAAACCCCAAAACCCCATAAGGACTCACCAAATTTTGTTCGTCAATAAATATGGAATATTTGAGCTTATTTTCCTTTAGCTATCTTGACTTAGCACTCTTACTGATAGCCCTGACCATCTTCGTACTAAGAAGGAGGTCCAATGACCGCCTCAGAGTACTGAATGGAGACTTCCGAGGCAAGACAGTGTTCGTGACAGGCGGCACCAGCGGTAAGCATCTTCCTGGGCTAAAGCCAATGATAATTTAGGAATTGGCAAAGAACTAGCTACTAGATTTTCAGAATTAGGAGCCAAGGTAATCATCACAGGAAGAGATGCCAACAAGCTGAAAGACGTCTGAAAGACTATTAACAGTAAGTCCTAACTAGTGGCTGTTCCTAAAACCTTCTCATCTAGGGTGTGAAGGATATGTCCTTGATATGGAAAATCCTGACAATGTTGAGCAATGGTGCGAGAAGAATGCTAAGAGTATTGGCAAACTTGATGTTCTCATCCACAACGCGGGAATCACTATGAGGGAGCTCCTCATGAATACTGAGATAGGTATTGGTCAGAAATTGATGAATGTTCATTTCCTCTCTGTCTTCGCCTTGACTAAGGGTCTCTTAAAGAACATGAAAACTGGCGGGCAAGGGAGTGTCATCTGTGGAGTAGGCTCTATTGCTGGCATTAATGGACTAGGAATCAGGACCATGTACTCTTCAATGAAAGGAAGCATGGAAGGCTTCTTCAAATCCCTTGCTAGTGAAGTTAAGAGCGATAATATCCACTCCATGGTGATACATCTTGGTTACATCCAAACTAATGTCGCTAAGAATGCTCTTGTTGGTGATGGAAGCAAGACTTTTGGCAAGACCGATCCAAATATCAAGAAAGGACTCCCTGTTAGGGAATGTGCTGACAGAATGATCGACAGCATTGGTAAGGAATAGTCTAATTCTCTAGTACTCAGAAACTCCCATGAAGTATGGATCTGCAATGGTAAGTAATAGGATCTTCCTTAAAGCGTCTATTTGCCTGTACAGGAACTCGCACCGGTTATAATTTCATATAATATACTAAATTTTTGTCTAGGAATGATGATGAATATCAAGATGTTTCTCCCAAAGTTGTTCCCATGGATTGGGGATTATAACTTATACCACGACCTCAAGAAGCAACTCTCAGGTTTGAAAGAGGCCAAGTAATATATCCCTGTAATGCTAAATTCAATCTGACCACTCCGTTACGGGGTTTTGGGGTTTTGGGGTTTTGGGGTTTTGGGG